GCTAATCTTCCATGTACACGGTGATCTCCACAACAGTGAATTCTGAAGAGATGATCAAAGCACAGAATACCCTTACTATCTAGACAAAGAACAAAGAATCTGGGAAGTAATGTGACAGTTTGGTATCTGAACTAGGGTGGTAAATTCTTGGGCTATCGACACAGAGATACCTGGCGGATGGATGTAGATACCATTAGATTAGGGTTACTTTAAAGAGTTTGTTTATTCAAGGTCACTGCAGCCTTAATGACCAGTCTCTTGTGACTAAGGTCATTTCCCAGCTTTGGTATGTGAGGGCCATCTCCCCCCGGAAAGAACCATTATGACTTACTTCAAGTTGAAAACACAGGTCATATGGCCCTTCTCAAAGTTACATGTCCTCAAATGATTTCAGATTGAAATAATCAATAGTCCAGCCTGGCTTATTTTGAGATTTGATGTGTATGCTTCCTGGTTGGTGGCTCAGTCTCTGGAAGCTCCCAGGGGTCCAGGTTACTTGAGACTGCTGGTCTCCCTATGGGGACTCCTTCCCTTTCAGCTTCTTCAATCCCTCCCCTAATTCAACCTTAGGGGTCCCTGACTTCATTCCTATGGTTGGATGTAAGTATCTGCCTCTGTCTCAGTCAGGTGCAGGTAGGGCCTCTCAGAGGACAGCCATGCTAGGCTCCCGTCTGTAAGCACAACATAGCATCAGTAATAGTGTCAGGCTTTGATGTCCCCTGGCCCCCATGAAATGGATCCCAAGTTTGAAGCAGCCATTGAACCACCTTTCCTTCAGTCTCTGCTCCATTTTTTGTCCATGCAGTTGTTTTAGACAGCTCTATCTTCTTTTTAACACCAACTACCAAGCTGACCTTTTCCTTCTGTGAAAGGACCATGTTCTGTTCTTTTTGACATATCGATCTTCATGTTTTCCTGATATCACCTCATTCTAGCTCCTACATTTTGCTCTTTTGGTTCCCTCCTACTCAACAATCTAAACAGCTTACCCTTTGGGGAAATTTCCTGAGTTTTTTCATTGTTAAGTCTGGGTTTTGACAGTTGTGATTCAGCTGAGACTCAGATAAGCTGCTCAAGGCTCCAAAGCGCATAAGTGTAGATGCCCATTTACCCCGCTTTATCAGCTTCAGATAAACATTCTCGATTTTCCATTGCTCCTCCCTCACAACAGCTCAAGGAACAAAGAGGATATATGTGACTGGCCTAAGATTACAGGCTTTGTAGCCTGAAATCCAGGTGCATTTTTATTATACCAGAGAACCCCTGTCACGGCAGTTAGGAAAACACAGTCTTGTAAATGTGGGACAAGAGATTATCCAATCCTCTAGTGACCAAATTACAAAAAAGTCTCTCATCAATATAAACTGAAAAAGAAAGTCCCGGACAAGCATCTATAAAGTAAATTCCACTACTGATTCAAACAAGTCACTGGGCAGTTCTTTGCTTTTCCATTTGGCTTAGCTAATGTTCAGTCTTGACACTGCCCACCCTTTGTCTTTGTTAGCAAATGAGACCTAGTGACCTTTATTGTGAGCTCCTGAGGGTATGAGCTGATTCACTGTGTGCTTTTCTGGGTAATCACTGGATGGCCAGCAAGATCACCTAGCAATCAGATAGATGTTAAGTGCAGACATTTTTCAACCTCCTGTTTTGAGTTTTTGTGTCTAGAAACTATCAAGCAGAATGAGTTCTGAAAATCCAGAAACAATAGCTCCTAAGAAGACAAGAAAGCAGCAGAGGGGTTGAGTGTGTAGACGTCAGACTAAACTGCATCGATTGTGGTCTTGGGATAACTATTTTATAAAGCTCTTCATCTAAAGCTAAAGGGAGCATCATCTCTAGTTACAAAGAAATTGAGGTACAGAGATACTCTTTCCCTCCTACTGGTGTACATGTGGGAAGTGTATTGGGGATTTGTAGTCAATATAAAAACCTCTAACAGTCTAGGCAAGTTTAGCTTTGGTCATATGCTTTCTTCATTCTCTGGTCCTTTTGTTAAAAAAGCGAAATCAAATTTCCACTAAAACTTGTAATCACTTTTTGAGCCATATGATATTTCTCTATATCTCCTCTGCCCACTCTCATTGTTATCCAAAAGGCCACCCTTGATCTTCTAAGGATATTAGCAGCAGCCCTAAGGATGCCAGAGTGTAACAATGATCAGTTTTAAGAAATATGTACGGGGACTTGAAAAGCAAGATGAGGTCCTTATTCTGTGTTCTTCCTAGGATCGTACTTTAGCAGTCACCTTCTGACAGTGCTGAAGTTCTCTGCCTTGCCCACACTTCCTTAACACTCTTTTAAAAGAATTACAGTGGATAAGATTGACTAACATTTTCAGATGCTTCATATATAAAATCAACACACATTGCCTTAGAGCAAAGAAACTTCAAACAAAAAGGATGTCTCTGGAGCCAGATGTTCTTCCTAAAAATCTAAGTAAAGTAATTAACAACTTAAAGACAGAATAGGGCAAATGCTCACTAATCACATCAACAATTTAACAAGATGAAAAAGAGTCACCCAGGCCAAGTTAATGTCCAGCTAGCACGGCTTAGGCTAGAATATTCCTTGCTGAAAAGGAATTTATGATATTCTCAATATCTCAAAATTTCAATAATCCTCAATAATCTCAAATTCTCAATAAATTCAAGATCTGGCTTGAATTTATTGGATAAACCTCTGTGGTAGCATTGGTTGCATACAAAACAGGACCTGGACTTATGAGATCCTCAATAATAATTTTTAACTAAATAACTATATTAATGAATTAATAAATGTCAATGATAGGGCTTTGGTGGCTACAGTTGCCTTACCAATCTGCTAAATATTATAACTATGTATCTGTTCCTTAGATCTTATTTTCTGACATCATTTGGCCTTCTCATGATTAATGAGGAGACCCCAGTGTACCTAATTCTATTGTAAATGGCGACCTTGGCATGTGAATTTATAATCAGTCTTTGACCTACGGTCCTTGTGGAGTTTTGACAAGTCAGATGTTGCTCTTATGCATCTGCAATGAAATCAGTAAACAACGTTCCAGTATGGTTCCCCTGACTTCTAGTGACTTCTTCCATGGGTAGAATAAATAGGACCCACTAATGGTTTGCAAAGTCCACAAATGTTCACTGTATGCTAAATTATATACCCTTCGGGAACAATACAAAATCATCTTTGTGAGCAATGTTTCAGGCCTTTGCAACTATTGTCTGATGAGTTTTCTGGATCCAGTTGCGGAAGGAAGAGTATGGGGGAGAGTTCCGGATTCAAAACCCTCACTCTGTACTTACACACTACACAATGATAGTGTACAAGCTATCCCATGGTCCTGCACCTCCCGCCATACTCTCACCATCACCATCATTATTTCTATGCGTACCATTGGTAAGAAGACACTGTCACGTTAAAATGGCCAGATGCTAAGTCAAGTTCTGTGCCCTCACAACAAAGATGCTTCTAGCACTGCAGCCTATGCCATTCCCACTCAGAAAGGCACCATGATTGCTATTCATAGTCAACCTTCCACTGAGTAAAAGGCATCAGAAGCTTTGACACCTGAATTGCTGGGTATCAAATCTGTTTCATTATCTTTCCGAGGAACACAATGTGTTGCAGCTGGAAAGAGACAATCTGACTTGAAGCCAAGTCAGGCTGGCTTCAAGCTGCTGGAATTGGCTCCTGGGGAGCACAGATTTCACCTCCCTACTCCCCATATAATTGGATCTGAATTAGAACTGCACATTCATGAAACTCTTCTGTCACTTTTTGTCAAAGATTTCTCGTTGAGTTACCTGAAGTATCTATTAAAAATTTAGCCTAAAGCAGTATCCTTTGAATACCCAGCTCAGTAATTTGGGTTCTGGAGCATTGGAGCAGTCCACCACCAGCTTGCAAATGGACAAATTACTCAAAAGATATTTTCCACCCCTCACATACACTTCCAAGAAAGAATAGGAAATGCCCCATAACTCTAATGGAATCCATTTGCTACAAGAACAAGTCATTCAGGTCCGTGGAACTAGAAATGCCTTTTGCACAGAAAACTGAAAGGAAGAGACAGCAAAATAGCAGCTGAAGCCAGCAAGTCATCACCAACAAAACATGATTCAAATCAAAATAAAATCCTCACTGGAAAAGTGGGTTACTCTCACACCCTGCATCACGGCTGAGATTAGAGTATTTTTCAGTTTATGTATAAAGGAAAAAAGAATACACAACATTTTTGTATGAATTTCATGGAAAATGAACTGTTTGTTCCTTGTTAGAAACTAATGTAAATGTCACAGGAAAGTGCAGTTTGGCTTCCAATAAAGCGAAAAGTAGAACGTTTCAAAATGCTCACGCATAAATCCTGACACCAAATTGCACATCTCTTAAGATTGTTGGAACTTTGAGCACTAGGTGATGTGCTTAATACATTTGTTCTTTCTTGAAGAGATGAGGTATAATTGTATGTCATCATCCTGTAGCTAGAAATTATATTAAGAACTCTGAAGTATAAGTGCTAAATCAAACTAAATCGTCTCTTATCCTTTCTCCTTTATTCGCGGCATTGCTTCCTGAAGTTCTCATTAGAGCTGTAACTGTGCTCCCTGTAACCCATAGATTTTTCTGAGGAAAGGAAACAGCTTTCCCCTCATTTCTCTCAGAACCTCAGGGAGTGAGACTCCAGATAAATAATTTCACCGAACAATGATGCCTTATTGGGTAGTAGAACTAAGGTGTTGTTGCCTTTTCACAAATATTTAGCACATTTTTCAAATCTGTTTTCAATGTCCCTGGAGAAAAAAAAAGAGCATGTTCTAGAAGAAAGGTTAATGGGAAAACATGAGCCACATTGTGACTTTAAATACAGACTCCTTTTCCAAATCTAAAAACCACAGTCCTCTTTCATTCGGTTCTAAAGAAGATATAACAGTGCTGGCTAATGGACTGTCCACAAATGACCATTATTGAATGAATAATAAAGGAATAATAGCGACGTGATTTCCACTTACATCAACCACAAAAATCTTCTGGGAATCATCCAAAAACTGCACTTTTAAATGGAGCATCCTCGGCGAGGCCGTTGGGCTGCGAGCAGATTCAGAATGGTGTGGGTGCTGTGACAGGAAGGGGGCTTTCTCCAAGAATCTGACTCTCAGCTGGATGCTGAGCACTTGTGTCCCCCAACCCCCAGCCAGGCATCCCTACTTTCATCGGGGCCCACTTCTGTTTGCTTGAAGTAAAGCACACCCAAGGGCGTTTGCACTGCTGAGTGCTGAGGATCAATAGCATCCGGGCAGCCTCCTCTTTGGTCCACGTGAAATCCAACTGGACTTTGAACGCACTGCCTTTCTGCAAAGAAAAAGAAAACAGAGAGGAAACAGTCACGGCTTTCTTTTCTTCAAAAGAGCGCAATTTGGAAACACTTGATTAAACTTGGAGAAGCTGAGAATAACCACCCTCCATATATATCAAATATACACTTTCAATTGTTATAAACATCCATAACTTAGAAAAGAAAAAAAAACATATAGACAAGAAAATACAGAAAGCTTCACTTCTACCCCTGACTGCTTTGTTCTATGCCACATACCCTTATCAATAATCAAATTGATCCGTTTCTTTTTCTTGTACTTGTTTTCCATCCAGTGCTTATACAAATACCGTGCAAGCCAATCCAAATGTATTTTCCCTATGTAGACAACAGGCTATTATTATGCTGTTCGCTCCTTGCCTTTCTTACCCTCATACTGCGAGTAGATCTCTGACAGCAGTACATAGAGAGCTTCCTCCTTTCTTCACACAGAGGCGTTTTGTATTGTGCAGACAAACCACAGTGTACTCAATTGCCCCGAAATCATTCTTTCTGCCTCAACAAGAATGAAATAATTACCGCCATTGTGACTGTGGATCTGACTTTCCACCAGATCTCCAGAAGTGGAGTTGCTGGTTGTTAATTTTACTCATCATCATTTCTTAAGTGTCCCTTCATAAAAGGGCTGCTATTGTTGTCACTCAAAATTCAACATGTTGAAGTAATGGCACCCAGTAAAAACATGAATAATTACAGAAATTTGGAGATGGTATTGGTCCTTAAATTCAAACAAGTTTCCTGACGTGAGTTTTCACCCAATCTGACTGGTGTCTACAGAGGAAAAGCAAATTCAGACCGAGACACAGAGAAAATAGACAATACACCAAGAATGTAAAGCTGTGGGGAGAAGACGGACACCTAGAAGAAGCCATGGGAAGTGGCCTTACAAGTCATGTAAACACATTGAGCTTAGACTTCTACGTCTGGTATTATGAGACAAGGAATCTGTTGTTTATGTCAGCCAGTTTATAGGGCTTTGTTCTGGAAACACAGCAAACAAGGCAGCACTCCTAAGATTGCAGTCCCTAGAGCCTCAGAGGAGAATGCCATAGTTCTTCCTCAAAAAAATGTGTAGTGTTCAAACAGGAAGGTGACAAGAAAAGAAGTCTCATTGTAGCCCTAAAGTTCAATTGGTTTACATTGTAATTTTTAAAGAGCGTTTCAATTCCTCTTAGGGCTGTAAACAATCTGCCCTTTAAAATATCTTGTCTATTATCTTTTCTCCTCTACTTCTGGGAACACATTTCTAAAGTTAAGAAGAGTGTGGCCCGGTTATAGAGCTCCTGGTCTAACACATGAACTTCTGGGTTTGATCCTTTGCACAGCAAAATAAATAAATGAGAAAATAAACAGACCAAAAGTACATTAACAAATAAAAACAGGAACATTTGGCATATGTCGTTGGCATCAATTACACTTTCACCCATGTGTCCTCTAGCCAGAAATTTTGCTTATGTTGCATGTCTCATGAGAAACTTTGTATTTTTGTGTAATTAATATATGAATAACTCAAGATGGTAGACTCCAACAAACCAGATAACCCAATTTAAAAATGGGGTACAGAGCTAAACAGAGAATCCTCAACAGAGGAATCTCAAATGGCTGAGAAGCACCTAAAGAACTGTTCAAAGTCCTTAGTGATCAGGAAAATGCAAATTAAAATGACCCTGAGATTCAACCTCACACCAGTCAGAACGGCTAAGATCAAACACTCAAAAGGCAGAACATGAGCTGATACAATCACTCTGGAAATCAGTCTGGTGGTTCCTCAGAAAATTAGACATAGTACTACCTGAGGACCCAGCTATACCACTCCTGGGTGTATACCCAAAAGATGCTCAACCATACCACAAGGACACGTGCTCTACTATGTTCATTGCAGCCTTATGCATAATGGCCAGAAACTAGAAACAACCTAGATGTACCTCAACCAAAGAATGAATAAAGAAAATGTGGTTTATTTGTATAATGGAATACTATTCAGCTATTAAAAATAACCACATTGTGAATTTTGAAGGCAAATGGATAGAACTAGACAATGTCATCCTGAGTGAGGTAACCCAGTCCTAAAAGGACATGCTTGCTATGTACTCATTAATAAGTGGATATTAGCCATAAAGCACAGAATGCCCAGGATACATCCCACAGACCCAAAGAAGTTAAACATGAAGGAAGACCCAATCAAGTATGCTTGACCCCACTTAGAAGATGGAAAAAATAGTCATAGAAGGCAGAGGGAGGAAGGGAAGTGGTTTGTAGAGTGGAAAGAAAGGGAAGTGGGTAGTGGGGCAGGATCTTATGTGAGGAGACAGGAGAGAGATCCAGAGCACCAGAAAAATGAATGGAAACCTGTAGCTGCCTGGGGTGGGTGGGGCAGGGAGCATCTCTAGGAAGTCTCAGAGACCTGAGATGGGGAGGCTCCCAGGAGTCATGTGGATGACCTTAGCTGAGATACCTATCAGTGGGAACATGGAGCCTGAACAGGCCACCCCCTATAGCCAGGCAGGACCCCCAGTGGAGGGATAAGGATACCAAAGTACCCTCAAAACTTTTGACACCAAATTTGTCCTGTCTAAAAGAAATGCAGGGACAACGAGGGAGCTGAGACTGAAGGATTGGCCAACCAATAACCTGCCCAACTTGAGACCCATCCCATGAGCAAGCACCAATCCCTGACATTATTAATGATACTCTGTTATGTTGGAGGACATATTATATTATTATGTTATGCCTCTGAGAGGACTCTGCCCAACAGTTGATTGAAACAGATAGCCAAAGCCAAACATTGGACAGAGGTCAGGACTCTTATGGAAGAGTTGGGGGAAGGACTGAAGGAACTCCACAGGAAGACCAACAGAGTCAACTAACCGGGAACTATGGGAGCTTTCAGAGACTGAGCCACCAACCAAAGAACACACATGGGCTGGACCTAAGCCCCTGATACATATGTAGCAGATGTGCAGCTTGGTCTTCATGTAGGCCTCCCAACTACTGGAGTGGAGACTCTCCCTAAAGCTGACTGTGGTATCTGTTCCCCAACAGGGCTGGCTGCCTTGTCTGGCCTCAGTGGGAAAGGATGCTCCTACTCTGGCAGAAAGTTGATGCACCAGGGTGGGGGGATACCCAGGAGGGTCCCACTTTCTCAGAGAAGAAGGGGAGGGAAGAGCGGATCTATGAGTGGGGTGGGGAAGAGTATTTGGGATCAAAATAAATAAATTAATAAAAATTTTTAAAAATTAACAATGTACAAAATTATCAATTATATAAAAATAGTCTCTGGATTTTATGATTGCATATTAGTGTGTGTGTGTGTGTGCGTGTGTGTGTGTAAGACATAGAGAACTATAGTGAGTGTGTGGAGGTCAGAGGACCAGTAGTGTGGGAATCAAACTTGGGTCACTGTGTATGGTGACAATCACTTTTATTCACTGAGCCACTTTACTGGCCTTAGCCTCTGGATCATGAGTAATAGTTTAAACAGCTTTCTTCACCTCAAAGTTTCATTTTGCTATTTTGCTATTTAAATGGTTTCCTTTTAACTTACTATTTGGGTTTTGCCCTGATGTATGGTATTAGGTATAAATTCAACTTAATCTTTTTCCAATCGACTACACAGTTTTTTTAGACATTATTAATAAGAATGTACATTTCTACTTCCATTAATTTGTAAAGTTGCATTTATCAAATACAAATACATAGAGAATTTTATTCTCTACCATCTGTGCACAACTATCACAGTTTAGCCTTTGAGGCTCTAAAGAATGTTTAATATCTAGTGAGGTTATGAGGTGCTCCATTACTTTCTTTTCCACAATTCTTTTGCTTTATTCTTCTTTACCTTGTCCAGTTTCAGGCAACAAGCATGGTATGTCATGTTAGATTTATAATTCTGCTTAAGGATGATTGGTATCTTGTTGACAGCGGTTGGCTGTGCTTTTCCGGTTGTTCTGTCTACTGTTTAAATCATTCTGTGTTGATCATTGTGTTGTCTGAGCACACATGTTGAGCTCACAGGAGGCAGTTCTCTCCTTCCATTGTAAGTTCAGGGAATTGAACTCAGGCCCCCAGGTTTTTAATCTGCTGAGCCATATTGCCAGCCACGTTGTGCCCTTCTTTCCTAAAATGTTGTTGTATCTAATACATATTTACATAAGTAAAGAAGAGGAAGGAATTAGTCTTCTCCAAGGATACCATTAGTATCCAGTTCCAATTAGTCTGCCCTAAAAACATACCAGTAAACACACTCGGCAGATTCTCTTTGTACATTCATTTGTACGTCTTGATTTTTTTTTTAAGAAAAAAAGAAGGTATGATTTAGGGGGTTACATAGGATAGAGATGGTATATTAATTAAAAATAAAATTATTATTGCACATCACACATAGGCATGCCATCTCTTGGTTGTGTTGTGACTTGACAGTCTTCTCTGTCATTATATCTTCTGATTAATAGTTGTTTGTATATGTGAAAGGAATTTAATTTGCCTATTCATGTTTGGGTTTGTAGTAGTTCTTCATCTGACCCATGTATTTTCAGGTCAAATACAATTCTATTATTTTAAGTAGAAATGTTTTATCTCTTCCTTTCTAACTCTTGTAACACTAGTTTGTTTTCCCCCCTTTTGTCTAATTGGTCTGGCCAATGTCCCAATGAGATGTTAACAACAATGACAATAGCAAGTCTCTTGTTTCCTCCTCCTGACTTGCATGAGAATTCTTTCAGTGCTTTCTCAGTAAGTAAAACAGTGGCTTTGGAAAGAGACATCTTCAAAAGTACATTTAGCCAGATTAGGCAAGAAGCCAAAGGCACTACCCTTTGTCTACAATGAACCGACTTATTCTATGTCACTAAATAAATAGGCTGGTAAAATTAGACCAATGAAATGTTGTC